CTTCCCCCCCCCCCATCTTTCTTCTTTTCTTTCTTTCCACTCTTAAACCACCACTCTATACTTTTAGTCTGATCCTTCCTATGACCTTTCATGCCTGGCTGGGCAGTGCTGGTAAGTCTCCTTTAGCATGGTGTCACAGAACCATGTTCACTGTATAAAGATGTGCACAAACAATTTTAATATTCTAAGTATTTTATTTACACCTATGTGTATTGAAACTGACCTTGGTATTCTGTTTACAATGTTAATGAATATTAGGAAATTATTTAAAATAAATTATTTCTGTTAAGGCAAAATTCCACACATTCCAGTAAAAATAAGTCAACACCGTATAATTTAGACAGTTACAGTCTTTTTCCCTGCCTTTCATACAGGGCAAGAAGAGTGGGCAACCCACACAAACAGACTGAAAATCTTGCAACAGCAGAAAATCTCTGAAAACCAGCCTTCAGCAGGCCATGAGGCAAAACTTGTATCTCATCTTTGTTGAACCTCCCCACCTCCCCAGGTTCAAAAAAAGAAATATCTGGGACAATGGGGCCAGTAAGTCTTCCTACACAATATGGATTGGAAAGAAACTTTGAAACCTTGTATGTGAATTTGTCTGTTCAGTTTCCAGTGTTTCATTGATTGCTGATCTCCCTATAATTCCCACTTTTTCCTGCAGTAGCTCCCAGGATTTCAAGAGTATTCTCTGTGCTTTTTGATTATCCTTCTCTCTTTTTTTTTTTTTTTTTTTAATACCTCCTGCTCCATTCATTTATGAAAGTCATCCCTTCTCTTCTTTAATCATCCTTCTTACGCTAAACTCCAGTGAGTTTAGTAATCTATTAATAGTAATCTCTTAATCCCATACTTTTTTCCAAATGAAATGTTCATAGTAGAAATAATATAAACACAAAAAATCCCTTGAGATTTCTCTAGACCTCATCTATCATTATCCTATTTATTTCTTTTGCATGTCACATGCTTTTCCCATGATACTTTGTTACTTGGCTTCAGTACAAGATCTTTTATATGCATATTGCATTTTAGGCAGTAAAGCTCCACTATAAATTGTATAAATAAATATAGCATAGTGTTGTGCATATGGGTGTGCATGTACATAAATTTAGTTACAAAGAAGTAAATATACAGCGACTTCTTCGGTAATATAGTTCAAGAATAACTGTACAGCTTGCAGAAGACAACTTTGGCTTGCAAAATGCAAAAGTTAGAACACTCATATTCCGTTATTTGTGAAGTTTATTTGTGAATAAACTTCAAAGCTGACAAATAGGATTTAAAGGATGTGCAAATAGCTTTATTCAAATCTATATGGAACTATATAAAATGTTCCTTTCTCTTTAAAAGTTATTTAAAGCCAACCGTGAACTGGCTGAGTAAGAGAATTTTTAAGTTACTTGGCTAGTCCCATTTTCTCATGTATGGATTTTCCACTAAAGGATTGATGGGGTAAATTGTTTTCATTGTCTCAGTCTAGACAGCAGCTAGATTAGGATCAAAACAGATGACAGCTCTTATTTGGTCAGGCATACAGACACCACTGCACTAACTGTGGTATACAGAAAGTGAAATGCTGTGGAACAGAAATTCTCTGTATTCAGTGAATAATTCTCATAGTTTTTATCCAATCCAGATGTTACTAACTTATTAGTTCTCCTATTAATGGAGGCAGGGAGAGGAGGAAAAAAAAAAAAAAGTTAAATATTCTTATCAAGATGTGTTATGCTGCGTAATCTTTCAGTGAAGTGTGGGTAGGAAAAAGGTACATGAGTCACAGGCCAGAGTCAGACACTTTTGAATTCTGGTGAGAGCTATGGCACACACCCTCATGTCTTGACCTATTTCTCAGCCAATAAACCTGTGATACGGTAGTTGGATTTTCCAAAGAGCTGGACCCTGGGGATCATTTGATGCATCTAACATGCTTACACCCACAAGCATTAAGTGAAGGGGAAGTCTTCACCAGGCCATGTATGGCCTAGTGAGGAAGTTAATGAATAGTTCACATGTATTGTTCATATGTAGTTAATGAATAGTTCATATGTATGAACAGTTCATATGTATTGCTAGAGAACATGTATCTACATATGTGCAGATATATGCATGCGTGCACACACACCAGAGCCACCCAAAAGTGAGGCAACTGCAATGTTTGCTGCTTTTAGATCCTATCATTAGAAGAGACTTGAACACTTAAATCAGAGGAACTGAACTGTCACTGGAAAGAATCTATCCTTCTCCAACAAAGGCCTCAAACACTGGCATGTACAGCTGAGGAAAGTAACTTCAGTATAGAGATGAAAAGCATATGTAAGAACGTACACTGAAAGAGTCAAACCCGAAAGGAATAATCATAGAATCACAGAAAGGTTGAGGCTGGAAGGGACCTCTGGAGGTCATCTGGTCCAAGCCCTCTGCTCAAGCAGGAACACCTAAAGCTGGTTGTTCAGGATTATGTCCAGGCAGCTTTTGAGTATATCTAAGGTGGGAGACTGGTGGGCAGTGCTTAGTCACCCTCACAGTGAAAAAGTGTTTCCTGACGTTCAGGGGAACCCTCCTGTTTCAGGTTGTGCCCGATGCCTTTTGTTCTGTCACTGGCCACCACTCTAAAGAGCCTGCTCCTTCCTCTTTGTATCCTCCCTTCAGGTACTTACACACCTTAGTAAAATCTCTCTCTGAGCCTTCTCTTCTCCAGGATCTCAGACCTGCCTTAACTAAACTGTTTAAAAAAGGTTTCTCAGCTGGATTATTTGCCCTTCCAGAACCTGCAGATCTGTACGGAGAAAAACTACTTGGAGATAGAATGACCATAACAGGTTTCAAGGAATGAGGAAAGCTAAAGAGAATAATACAGACATTAAGCAGCAGGGAGCAAGACCATGGTTTTCGCAACCGTGCTGAGGGAGGGTTGCTGATGTCGAAGTATCAGTAAATCGTACAGGATGAGCTCTGCCCACGGAAGACAGCTGGCAACATGGCAGGTGGTGCGAGTTTTTCTGCTGAAACTCACTTTCCAAGGAACCAGAGCATTTATTTTACTGAATGAGAGAATGTGCCAGGTCCCGATTCTGGAAACCTCTAAGGAGATGACAACGTCCACTCATGCCTCGTCCCACCACCACTGCCCCCTTCACCCCCTAACACCTCCAAGGGCACCTTTCGGCTGCACAGACAGCCGCCACTCAGCGAGGGACACGCCGCCTTCGGGCCCGGCCGGAGACGCCATTACTCCCCCTCAGGTAGAACCGCCACC